GCTCTTCATCATGTTCTTTCATTCGAAATGAAGGTCCCCCTAACAATGTTATCTTATGAGATTCATCGAAACCAAGTTTCTCTTCGTATCTACAGATATAATATTAGATGTCATTATTGCTAAATAGAGTTAAACCAATGAAATGAAAAAGAACGTAAAAGCCCAGCATCTGTAATGATACAAATCGGTCGGGCCTCGGCGTAAAGAGTAAGACGATCAGCCAGCATCTACGTCCCGCAAAAAGTTATTCAACGACCCCTTCATTGCAAAACTACACTTGCTCCGCGGAAACAATTTGACTATGACCCAAAGTCAACGTTAAACCAGCGCCAACTGATTGCTTTGGGCCTCCGCAGCCTCCCATGCCCTGGCATCTCCCAGGTTGGCTGCACCATTCCAGAAAGTTGTGTCCATTTACATGTTCCAAGCCTGCTTTTCATTCTATCCTTCTGTTTCTCTGCCCTCATCATGAATACATACAAACACCTGGCTCTGAATACCTTTTAATATCCATATAACTTCAATAACACATGCTTCAGGCTTATATCTTCCCTATAGAACTCAGAACAGGTCCCGAGGTCTACATCGTCAGAGTAGAGTTTGATCATTGTATATCTAAAATGATTTAACAATATATTAATTTGTAATGGATAACGTTTCTGAACCCTTAATTAAAATCGATTCACAGTCAAACTTATCGAATGAATCAGCAGTCAATTGAGAGCGGATCCATAGCATACGCCTGTGATCTTTACCGACATGTTTGCGGGAACTAGGCAAGACTGAATAAGAGATCTATTACGCATGAGGAGACATATTTGAGACAAGAAGAAACGTGATTTTTGGACGAAATAAATCAAATGCTATAGAAAGACCTAAATATCATTCAAATTGGGTAGTAGGTTGTAAAAGAAAGCTTGTTGCTGCCAGTACTTGGTAATTTAACAAGACACTCCGTGGGTGGAAGAGCAGCAAAATTTCAACTTTAGACTGTTTTTATCGAAATATTTTGAGTGTGATTGTGGCCGGAACTTTAAATCACAAAATTAGATAAGGCTGAAATTTTGGAAGGAGTCTAGCGACAAAATCTGAATCGAATAAAATGCAGAAATTTGCATACTCTCACCTACATTCACTGAGTTCTATTGTAATCAAAGGGCAGCATAATGTAATTGTCATCCTAGACTCAATTATAATATAGAATACAGCCAAATTAATGTATATCATTTATAAAGGCATCCTTATTTGCTCCCAAACATGGACGTTCCTCACTAGAAGTGGGTTGACTTCGTTGTCGCAACTTGGTCTTGTGTTCAGGGAGACTATGTAGAACGCACCGAGT